GGCCATGAGGAGCCGCTCCTGCCCCTCTACCAATCGGTGCAGCTCCTGGGCCTCCGCCGCCACCTTCTGCCGCTCCGCGTCCACCCGGGCCTGCGGTGAGGCCGTGGGGGAGAGGAACGGGGGGAAATTGGTGAAAAAATGGAAATTTGTGACATGGAAATGAATTCTGGCCCCTGATGGGCAGCAGAGGAATGACATCAACAAATATTATTAATTAATATTCATATATTCTTAAATAATAGCAAAGAAAAGGGAAATCAAGGCAGGAAAGGAGAAACCGGAGTGACTCCAGTTTCTGTCTGTACAAGGAGGGGGAATTTGGGACACAGCAAAATGCAGGACAGGAAATTTTGGGGGAAATGGGATTATTTTCAATCTCCCCTCGGGATGGAGGCTTACGAGGAAATCCCGGTGTTTCTGCTCTTCGGCCTCTTTGAGCCCCACCAGTTTTTGTCTCCTGTCCTTCAGGGTCTGGATGTGAGCCTGGAGTTTGTCCTGGGAAAAAATAAACCCAGGTTAGATCCTGGTTAATAGTGTCATAGGTTGGATGATGGGAAATCAGAATAGAAATAGAGATTTAAATTGAAATTGAAATTTAAAGTGAAATAGAAATTGAAATTGAAATCTAAATATAAATGGAAATAGAAATTTAAATTGAAATAAAAATGTAAATTGAAATAGAAATTTAAATTGAAATAGAAATTTAAATTGAAATAGAAATCTAATTTGAAATAGAAATATTAATTGAAATAGAAATTTAAATTGAAATAGAAATTTAAATTGAAATCAAAATTTAAATTGAAATCAAAATTTAAATTGAAATCTAAATTGAAATTGAAATAGAAATATAAATTGAAATAGAAATTGAAAGCAAAATAGAAATTTAAATTGAAATGGAAATTTAAAGCAAAATAGAAATTTAAATTGAAATCTAAATATAAATTGAAATAGAAATTTAAGTTGAAATGCAAATTTAAATTTAAATAGAAATTGAAGTAGAAATTTAAATACAAGTATAAGTATAAATATAAATATCTAAATCTAATTTAGATAGGTACATGTATCTATCAATATCTGTAGGATATATTTTTATATATTGATATAGAGACATTTCTATATAAATATAGAGAGCAGAGATATTTTTATACAAATATAGAGATATTTTTCTAGAAATATATCGAGAAGATAACTTTATCTGTATCTATAGATA